GACTATTATGGCTGCCTCGGTGTGGGTCAGGCGGAGGGCTCGGAGGTTCTGGAGCCCATTCTGGTGGACTTCTTCTTGAACGAGCCGGTGGAGCAGGTGTCATGTGGTGACAGTCACGTCATGGCGCTGACACGAAGCAAGTCGGTCTACTCGTGGGGCTGCGGGGAGTATGGTGAGTGGACTGTGGTGGTCTCCGTGTCGGGACATTGTGGACTGTGGTGGGCTGGATGTAATCTGTCTGTCTCTGTAGGACGCCTCGGCTTGGACTCTGAAGACGACGTCTACTCTCCTCAGAAGGTGACCGTCCGTCCGTCTCTACACCTTGTGGCTGCTGTGATCTGTGTTGGGGGGCCTCTGGTTCTGGATATTCTTCACATCTGTCCTTCTCTCTGTGTCAGGTGGAGGTGCAGCGTGGCCTCAGCATTGTGACGGTCAGCTGCGGCTCAGATGGGAGTTTTCTCCTGACCCAGTCTGGTAAAGTTCTTGCCTGCGGATCCAATGAACACAACAAGCTGGGACTGAACCAGTGCACAGCCGGGATCATCAACCACGAGGTGAGAGTCTGACCGCTCCGGGACTACACTGTCAGGACTTCCCGGGGGTGACACCTTGTTCCTCTCCCCTCAGCAGGCCTATCAGGAGGTGCCGTACACCACGTCTCTGACGCTGGCCAAGCCGCTCTCCTTCTACAAAGTGCGCAGCATCTCTCCCGGGAAGACGCACACTTCAGCCATAGATGGTGAGATATGTCTATGGTCGTCTCCCCATCGCTTGTCCTCTTCCCCCGTGTCGCCTACACACTCTCTCTGCTCTCTTCAATAGAGCGCGGCCGGCTCCTGACGTTCGGCAGCAACAAGTGTGGCCAGCTCGGCGTGGGAGATTACCGGAAACATCTGGGCATCAACCTGCTGGGGGGACCTCTTGGAGGGAAGCAGGTGATCAGAGTGTCCTGTGGAGATGAGTTCACCATTGCTGCCACGGATGGTGAGTAAACCCGCCTGCACCCGGTGGCGGTGTGCGCCGTGGACCTCCCAGTAAAAGATCTCCTCTCCTCAGATAATCATATCTTTGCCTGGGGGAACGGAGGGAATGGACGCCTGGCCATGACCCCTAATGAACGACCTCAGGGCTCTGACATCTGTACCTCGTGGCCTCGTCCAATATTCGGCTCCCTGCACCATGTTCCTGAGCTGTCTTGCCGTGGCTGGCACACCATCCTCATCGTGGGTGAGTAATTGGGGGGGCGGGGGATGGTGTCTTGCTGGTGGATGTACGATGAGATTTCTGCCTCTTATACGAAGCTTGCTTTCTTATCATAGAGAAAGTCCTCAACTCCAAGACCATCCGGTCCAACAGGAGCGGCCTGTCTATCGGAACTGGTGA